TGTCTAACTTGTATTTTTATCCTATGTAATATATATATATATATGTGTCTAACTTGACACAATATTCTTCTGAAGCATATCTTCATATCTAAATGTAAATCAGTTTTGAAGTCAATAAAAAGGAAATTTATTTGAAACCAAAAAAAATCATGTCACTCCACAAAAACAAAAAAATATCTCCTTCCGTCAAAAATAACTTAATCCTTATGAATATGGTATATGTAGTTTCTTGGGTTCAAATGGTTAATATTACAGTAATTGTAATCTAATATATAAAGCTAAAATATAAAATGTTAAAAAAAAATATAATTATTGAAGTTACTTTAGTTGCACACCAAAGCAGAGATCCTCAGGCTGCACTAATATATAATTTTGTTTTAAAAATAAAAATATATATTACCCAAACTGATGATCCCTACTTCAGGGTGCAACTTAATTACTTATGGTAATTATATTATTGAGGAGGCATGGTGGAGAAATGGATAGCAGCTTGGATTGAGGAATCAGAGGAATCAGAGAGCCGAGTTCAAATTCCAGTCAAATCCATTACATTCACTTATTTGCTAATACCCTTGGGAAAGGTATAAATCCTCTTCTTCCCCCTCCCCAGTTGTGGGTAAATAGAAGGACAGACCGGGTTCTATAGCCTTGGATGGCAACTGGTCTACTGCAGAAAGAAATGGCAACCTACTGTAGGAAAAAATCTGCCTCATCAGTCATGTATCGTGTATGACGCATGGCACATAACTGACTGAATTATATTATTAAAAATAAAGATATATATGATCCCAGTTACAAGTGTTATCCATTTTAGTCATTGCTGTTGTTGAAAGTCCTCAAGTGATGTGGATTTGGTGCCGTTCCATGTTGTGATTCTGGCACATACATGAGGTTCAAAGAAGAATAGTTCTCATATGGACTGACTGGCTTCCTTTGTTAGAAGCCACCTTTAACCACTGATCTGAAAGTTTAGATATTTCTGAACAAGTTTAACACCAAGCATAACATCTGTATGAATATGTCAATTTAACAAGGATATTTTAGAAAGTTGGTGAAACTACTCTATGCAAAACCTATTCTATATTTAATTCCCTAAATTTGTTATAACTGACTCAGCCTTTTTTTTCTATGATATTCATACTGTAGGTCTGGGAACCACAGAGTAAGATGCATAGTTTATGTAGATATGTGGAAAAGATAACCTGCTCAAGTCTAGGGTTAACCATTAAGATTGTAGCAATCAGGGAAGTATTTTCCTGGGAGTTGGTTCCACAGAGAAGCAGGTCATGGGAAGAAGCTTCTTCAGTGGAACTTTCATCTCACCAATGGAATAATATAAAGGGAATGAGTGTAGTTCACTATAATGTGTGTGGGATGGCAAGTTTTAGCCATGAAGGTTAGAATTGGCAGTAATATTGAATGTAGTTCATCTGAGCCCTTTCCACAGAAATAGAAACAGAGCAGGGAGAGGCTTGCAACCTTTTGTCTATGAGAAAGGGTTCGTAAGGTGGAAAATAATTTGTTACTCACAAGGACATGGAGACACATCTGAACTCTATAGAGATTGGAAAGTGAAGACAGGGAATCTCCTGCACATATATAACAGGTAGAGGATGGTAGAAGGTAAAGTGGTATATGGGCTGAGGGGTTAGAACCTTTGCTTTCTGACCATGAGACCTGGGTTCAAATCTCACCATGGTCAATTTGTCAGGATGTTAACAGTTTTTTTTGGGGGGAGGGGCGATCCCAGTATGCAGCACCTTCAGAAAGTGCCTGAAAACCATACCACTGGTTGACCCAAGACTTGTGAATGAAATTGGATAGATGATACCCTTGAGGGCTGTTGATAGCTGTGCTAGCACAAAGTCACAAGTCATCATGACTGAGGGTTTGAGCATAATGGCCTTGATCAGATTGTTGGTCACATTAGATAGCACACTCTTTCCCCAGAACTGTAACTAAGGTCTTCTCAGTAAAATTACTGTAAATTACAGTAATGAATATCAAAAAACAGTTTTATATTACTACTTGCACCCATGAATAAAACACAGTTTTGTATTACTACATAACCCCTGAAGATGATCTTGGAAGAAGATCAAAAATACTTAGGAAATGTCTGTAATTTATTTAATCAGACATGCCTAAGAGAGAATTTGTTGCCTAAATACACACATATATATATATATATATATATATATATATATACACACACACACACATATTCAATCAGGTTGTCTGAATCATCTTCAAGAAGTGAGAGCAAGATCTAAAAATGTCAGCCAATCTAACAGTGATCTCATCCCACAATCCTTACTCTTGCTCCATATGTGGCCTCCCTTGTAAATCACTAGCGAGTCTTAAGTGGCACTTAAGATTATCGCACAAAATTTCATAACTGAATCAGTTAAGTTGTCAGATCCTCATACATCGAAACCAATGGGAGAGTCCATTATATATATACAAGTAATAGGAAAGAACAGACTTATAATCCAAAGTTCTTTAGTATGTTTTTTTATTTTTAAAGAACAGTGCTCAATACAAAGGAGAGCATACGTATATATATATATATATATATATATATATATATATATATATATATATATAGATGGAATGGACTTTTTTATCATCTTTAGTGATAGATTTTATGTAAAAGTTTTACTTGAGGTCTGGGTTGAGTTTAAGTCCCAATAGGTGCTCAAGTCATGGGGTCTTCCTGAGGGAACATCTGTTCGTAATGATTAACAATAGTTCTGGGTCTGATCAGCAATGATTGTATTTCCTACCTATAAGTATCTGTAAGTCAATGGACTACAGAGACTAGCTGGGATCTGTTGAGTACAACTCAGATTTACACAAGAACTACCGACCTTCCAATAGTACCACTCACTACTGGATTAACTTGTAACAACTTTGTGCATAACTGTTACCTTTATCCTTATTGTACTGGTTTTTATACAATAAAACTTTACTTATTTTATCCACCTTGTTTTTCAAGTATATATTCCTATTAGCACGGAATATAACAATTTACAAGGTTTCGGCCACTGTATCAGCCAGCCTTCTTCAGGTGATTGGAATTTTGAACTGACCCCTTTATTTCACCCACCAGAGTAGGTTGTTCTAGTTTCACATACCATGCCTCTTCCGGATGTCTCAGTTATCTCCCTTTAACTCAACTCTCCACGTTTTTGTTTACCACTGTAGTAACCAAGTACTGAACTCACAACTCTTTGGGTCAAGTCAATGGATCCAACCAAAACTTTTATCCACTAGGCTATGTGTTCTCAAGGACACATGGGGAAAACTTGGAGAGTTGAGTTAAAGGGAGATAATTGAGACACCCGGAAGAGGCATGGCACTTGGAACTAAAACAGTTTACCCTGGTGGACAAAATAAAGGGTTCAGTTAGAAATTCCAATCACCTGAAGAAGGCCGAAGCATACAATGGCCAAAATGTTGTGAATATGATAATAAAGATGAGGACAACAGTCTGAGTAATGTAAATAATGTAAATAATTACAATACCTCATCACAGAAATATAGTAAGATCCTGAAGAAGGCTGGAGCATACAAGGACTGAAATGTTGTAAGTAGTGCAATAAAGATGAGGATAACTGTCCAAACAATGTAAATAATTACAATAACTCATCTCAGTAATATTGACAGACATGCAACAAACTTAGTCAACATATGCCAAGCACTCAAAAACTAGTGGCCTTTTTCCACTAAAAGCTGTCTCTTCAGTAAAAGCTTAGTGACTGTCTGACTAAACAAGTGCTCTCTCTATATCTACTGTGATGGATAAATTGTCATCCAAATTATGCAAAAAATGAAAATAACACTGACATTTCATTTTAATATATATATATATATATATATATATAACAAAATTACACAAAAACATCTTGGAATACTAAAGACTAAATTTATTGAATAAAGTCGCCATTGGCTTCAACAACGGCCTCCATATGACTTTGGAATCTCCTGCATCTCTTCTGGACAGACTCCTTGTTTAAGTTGGTGAATGATGCCATAATCCTTGGCTTCACTTCATCTTTGGTATTATAAGGAGTTTTTTTGCCTGCACATAATAATCAAGGGGATTGCAGTCTGAGGAGTTAAGTGGCCAAACATAAGGGGTGATGTGGTCACAGAAATTGTCTAACAGCCATCACTGGGTTCTCCTGCTTGTGTGGCATGGTGCAGAGTCCTGTTGCCAGGCAGAGGATCTTCCAGCAACCACCCTCTTGATTCAGGGCAGCACTACCTCCTCAATGTATTTAATGTAGGCCTCTGTGTTGAATGAGGTGCTGTAGGAAGATAAACAGAGGTATAATGTTACCATCACTAGAAATCACTCCAAACAACATGATGTTGACTGGATATATCATCCTTTTCCCAAATCCTGTGCCCAACTGACCCTACTATACTGTGCAGTCAACAAAATCTAAAATAAAAAATGTGCATGAGCAAAATTAAAGATATAAAATGGCGACAGTTTACCCATCGCACCCTTTATATATATATCTCTTTCTCTTATGATTTATTTTCTGAAAGGAATTCAATTATAAATCACTAATAAAAAGGCAAGCACTTCCTTGTAAACAAAGAAAATAATATAACATTTTATGACTTGATTTCTAACATCAAATTTAATAGTCATCATTATCTTTTCACTGTTTTCTAAACCAAGATTTATAAGCTGTGTAAACTAAAGCTGTATACAAAAGTTAATATTAATAATTTCTTTCTAATCCCTTAGAAAAATAAAGCTTAAAAAGTTTGCATTTAATAAGAATGTTCTAATCCACTTTACTGCTTCCTGAATGACAAGAAATGTCGAAAGTAACTCATACCTTTTCAAATGCAAACTACAAGCAACAGTAATTTTATTCAAAGTTAATTTTCTGCACTACTCACACTATGAACTAATATACAAATACACACTATTCTACAACTATAATCAAATAAATGTGCACTCTTTTGTTCATACCAAGTCTTACAGCCATATCACATTGAAACACCAGTTCTTGTATGATCACCAAAGTTATGCAACGTCAAGCCTGGTCAGTAGCTAGATGGGTGACCGCTTGAGAATAACAAGTGTTGTAAACTTGGATGTGCAGGTGGTGTGATGGATAAGGGTCCAGAATTGTTAATCAGAGAGGTGAGTTCCAATTCAAGTCAGGTTTGTTATATTCACTTATGCACAAATCCCCTTGGAAAAGGTATGAATCCACCTCTTCTCCCTCCAGCTATAGATTAATTAGTAAGACTTGTATCACTAAAAAACAATTATCATCAAAAAAATTCTTAAAATCTAAAAATATTTTTTGGCTTTAAATAATCTGCAAAGGGTTGATAACCCATAGAAAATGAATTAATCAATCATTCATGCCAAATTGCTTAACTATTGGGAAATATTTAAAAACTTACATTTTAGGCTGCATGTAAAAAATGCACAGGTTACTTAATAAGTGAAATGTTTCGTGTTTTTATTCAACATTTATTTTTTTCAATATTGTGACATAAAATTTTGTTTATGACATAAGAATTTTGCTGAATAAGTGAAATGTTTCTCGTTTTTATTCAACATTTATTTTTTTAATATTGTGACATAAAATTTGGTTTTGGATTTTTTGCTGAATTTGTTTCTCATTTTTATTCAACATTTATTTTTTTAATATTGTGACATAAAATTTGGTTTGTGACATAAGAATTTTGCTGAATAAGTGAAATGTTTCTCATTTTTATTCAACATTTATTTTTTTAATATTGTGACATAAAATTTGGTTTGTGACATAAGAATTTTGCTGAATAAGTGAAATGTTTCTCTTTTTTGTTCAACATTTATTTATTAAAAATAAATTTTTTAAGATTGTGACATAAAATTTTGTGATATAAAACTTTGTGACATAAAATAATATTGTGATATAAAATAATATTGTGACATAAAATTTATTCAGTTTTTTGTATTTTATAATCGTTCTATATATTTAAAATGTAAAAATTGAGTGTATAAACAAATTCATAGATTTTGTTCCCTGTATTATTTAAAGAACATTGCTTTAAATTTCAAATCAAGAAGTAGAGTTTCTTATCCTGCTGGGGTTGCCGTTGTAGTTGTAACAATTCTGGAAAAGCCTCAAAATATATTCTAGGTAAAGACAGTTCCACCTTATAGTCTTCTCCTCTTTTGTACCATATGATTTTTTTTTTTTCTCTTTTTTTGCCATATGGCTCTGCTGGGATTGCCCTTGCAGTAATAGCCATTATGGAGAAGGCCCCAGAATGAAGTGTATATTCCAAGAGGGTGTGGGTGAATTCTCCCACTCAGTTGTATAAATTATTCACTCTTACAGACATCTATATTTATATACTTACTCACTTATATATCTATCTCTAGTATTTAAAACACATTTTAATTGAAGAAAAATAAAACAAAATGGAATAAAGATACAATATATCTAACCTTAGTGATAATTTCATGAATATTTTTCTGGTGGCACAGAGGCATTTTGTAAAATCATCAGTGAAAATGATAAACATCTATTTGATGTGACAAGCAGATTCAAAAGAGACTGATTTTATCTTTCTGTAAAGAGAACTTCTCAACAACGATAAGTGAGAAACATTTTTTTCTTATATTCAAAGTAACTTTTTTTTTACCTATCATCATCTTTTCAAGACATTTTAACCTATTGATCAGATTCTTTTTGTTTTTGTTGAAGTGGAAAAATTTCACCAAGCAGATGATATCTGGAGGGAGGTGGTATGACATAATTCCTTCAATTCTTGAATAAGGTCAATGATAAGAGACTTTGCCTGCAGGTGAGAAAATTGAAAGAAGCTGTGTACATAAGCTTTGAAGAAAACTGTTTTAAGTCAAGCAAGTGTAGATGTTGTATAATGCGTCGACTAGACAGGCTAAAATAATTATTAAAATGAAAACCCAAGAAAATAATTTTCATTTCTTTTCCGAAGCAAAAAATCTCAGCATGAGTACAAAGAATTTCTGTTTGGATTTTTGAGGATAGGAATTTGTGGAGAGCCATGATTGTCCACATCCTGAAGGGACATAGCATATAGAAGATGGTGATCTATGTCACATTCTTTGTACTAATTACACTATTTATATTTGGACTATTATCTTCTAATTTGTTGTTACAATGTTTCAGTCATTGAGCTCTGCGGCTTTCCTCGGGTATATTGACCTCGAGGGAATTCTGATATTTTGCTATTTGGTTATATTTAAGAGAATAGGTCAGGGTAAAGAATTTTTCAGTGCTATCTATAAATAGAGTGAAAAGAGCAAAATTAAATAGACTGATTAAAAAGAGCAAAATTAGATATATAGAAAAGAGCAAAATTAGATAAAAATTAGCAAAATTAGATTTATAGATATATAGAAAAGAGCAAAATTATATAAATGGAAAGAGCAAATTATATATATATATATATATATATATATATATATATATATATATATATATATATATAAAAAGAGCAAAATTAGATAGAAAAGAGCAAAATTATATATATATATATATATATAACGAGCAAAATTAGATAGAAAAGAGCAAAGTTAGATAAAAATGACCAAAATTAGATTTATATATATATATATATATATAAAATTGAACATATAAGTCAACACTTAGAGGCGACCGTCTGTTTCATGCTATATGTAATCGTAAAACGATTGCATATAGCATGAAACAGACTATTGCCTCTAAGTGTTGTCTTCTATGTTCACTTTTATATTTACATACACTCTATCTCTGATATTGAGCACTTTATCCCATAAATATAGCACACCTCAAGTCTATATTTCTTCATATATATATATATATATATATATATATATAGGAAAGAGAAAAATTAAATTGATAGAAAATAGGAAAAATAAATAAACAGATAGAAAAGAGTAAAATTAAACCACAAAGAACAAAATTAGATTGATGGATAGAAAAAAAGTAAAATTAGATTGATAGATTGAAAAGAGCAAAATTAACAGATTGACATGGATAAATCTCCACAGTTGACACCCGAAGTTGAGCTCAATAACAGAAGGTTTGGGTTGTACATGTTGTAGAATCATTGTTATATTATTTATTTAGAGTTCTTAAAATGTAATGAAACACTAAGTGCACATTTATTTAGCTGCAATGTGTTCACAAAGGGTTGGCTGAAAAGTGCCCGTATCCATCAATAGGAATGATGAAGTTCTTTTCTATTACAATGAAAAGCAGTATTCGGCAAGAATAAAATAGGAAAAAATATTTGACCTCTGTTCTACTTCACCTGTAAAATTAACCTGACATTGGACTAACCAATTACTACTGTTTTAGATTGCTGCAAAATGTTTTAATTGGGAAAATTTTGTCTAATGAAAACTCCATTCAAGAATTCATTGAAAGCTTAAGATCATGACCTATAGAATTTACTCAAAAGGTTTTGAACAGCAACTTGTTAAGTGGTATCAAGTCATTCAAATAATGGTGAATATATAATTGAATAAAATATAATTGTTTTTTTGGAGAATAAAACTGATATGCAAAAATGGATATTATTTATGAATCCACTTAATAGATATAGGCTTTCAGTTTGTAAGAAAATAAAACCTGGGTCTTATGTAAGAAGTCATGTATGATCCATTAGCGTGGTCATATGAAATATTGCAAATAAAAAAGAAAACAAAATTGTAATATTTACTCACAGATTACTCAAAATCTCTTTTCATGACCAGATCTAGCCTCCAGGCCATAGGTTACCTGTCCCTGCTGTCAGAATCAAAATCATGGATGGATCAGTTAATATGTTAAGTTTCTTATCTTTTATTTTATTCTTTTTACTGTTTTTACTCTTTTCAATATTAAAATATGAAGACTGGTACACACATAGACAAAAGTGACTACATTCTTTTCATGAAGAGTGTACAGTGAAGGAATTTAGAACAATAAATAAAAAAAATATTGTGGTAACAGCTAAAGTAACTGTAAGAGAAAAAACTATCTGTCTATATCACTGAGATGAGGTATTATGATTACTTATATTATTTACATTAATCAGACTGTTATCCTCATCTTCATTGCCATATTCACAACGTTTCGGTCTCTATATCTCTGAGATGAGGTATTATGATTACTTGCATTATTTATATTATTCACACTGTAAGTAATCATAATACCTCATCTCAGAGATATAGAGGCTGAAACATTGTGAATATGACAATTAAGATTAGGATAACAGTCTGAATAATGTAAATAATGTAAGTAATCATATTACCTCATCTCAGAGATATAGAGGCCGAAATGTTGTGAATATTGGCAATGAAGCTGAGGATAACAGTCCAAATAATGTGAATAATGAAAGTAATCATAATATCTCATCTCAGAGATATAGAGGCTGAAATGTTGTGAATATGACAATGAAGATGAGAATAACAGTCTGTATAATGTAAATGATCCAAGTAATCATAATATTTCATCTCAGAGATATAGAGGCTGAAATGTTGTGAATATGACAATGAAGATGAGGATAACAGTCTGAATAATGTAAATAATGTAAGTAATCATAATACCTCATCTCAGAGATATAGAGGCTGAAATGTTGTGAATATGACAATGAAGCTTAGGATAACAGTCCGAATAATGTAAATATTGAAAGTAATCATAATATCTCATCTCAGAGATATAGAGGCTGAAATGTTGTGAATATGTCAATGAAGCTGAGGATAACAGTCTGAATAATGTAAATAATGAATGAAAACAAAATATTCAGTATTCTGAATTAAAGGAATAATAATTTCACAGTTATTAAATAGCTCTTGTTTTTTAAGTATTTTTTGTTTTTCATAAATTTTTAGCATTCAAGTTTTGTTTAACAAATAAAACTATACAGAGAACAGAAACCGTTAACATAGAACACTTAAGTTTTCTCCTAACAATTTCAATTGTAAAATGATAAGACCTAGCTGCCAACCTAGTACTGCCCTTAAATTTGTAGAGTCTAGGTACCAAAAAGAAAGCTCATCAGAACAATTACCATGAAAATATTTAAAGAAAAGGTACAGGGAAGCTATGCTACAGCAGTAGGAAAGTGACTGAAGC